CCCATTTCCCTCCCCTCCCTCAGCAGCCGCAGACTCAGAGAAGGATTCCCGGCGGAGAATTCCCAGGAAACTTTTCCAGTTGGATTTCCAGGAGGACGTCGACTTCCAGCCCCATTTCCAGAAGCCCAAGGTACCCTCAGAGCTCCTTTCCCGCGGGGAATTCCCGGGATTCTGGCAGATCCCGCTGTCCTGCCGGAGCTGGGATCACCTCAGCCCTTCCCAGACTGTCCCCGATTCCCGCGGGAAGCTGCTGCAGATTCCCGTTCCCATGGATCCGTTCCCAGGGATCCATCCCGTGGATCCCATCCCGTGGATCCCTCCCGTGGATCCCATCCTGTGGATCTGTTCCCATGGATCCCATCCCATGGATTCCATCCCGTGGATCCCATCCCGTGGATCCATCCCGTGGATCCCTCCCGTGGATCCCATCCTGTGGATCCCTCCCGTGGATCCCTCCCGTGGATCCCATCCCGTGGATCCGTTCCCATGGATTCCATCCCGTGGATCCGTTCCCGTGGATCCCATCCCGTGGATCCATTCCCATGGATCTGTTCCCATGGATCCCTCCCGTGGATCCCATCCTGTGGATCCGTTCCCATGGATTCCATCCCGTGGATCCCATCCCGTGGATCCCATCCCTTGGATCCCATCCCATGGATCTGTTCCCATGGATCCCATCCCGTGGATCCGTTCCCGTGGATCCCATCCCGTGGATCCATTGCCATGGATCCATCCCGTGGATCCGTCCCTTGGATCTGTTCCCAGGGATCCATCCCATAGAACCGTTCCCATGGATCCCTTCCCGTGGATCCATCCCATGGATCTGTTCCCATGGATCCACCCCATGGATCCATCCCACGGATCCATCCCGTGGATCCACCCCATGGATCCATCCCACGGATCCATCCCGTGGATCCCATCAAATGGATCCATCCTGTGGATCTGTTCCCATGGATCCCATCCCATAGGACCGTTCCCATGGATCCCTCCCCTGGATCCATCCCCTGGATCCATCCCGTGGATCCATCCCCTGGATCCCTCCCATGGATCCATCCCCTGGATCCCTCCCCTGGATCCCTCCCCTGGATCCATCCCCTGGATCCATCCCGTGGATCCCTCCCACGGATCCATCCCGTGGATCCCGTTGCAGGTCTCCGTGACTCTGGGCAGATCCGTCGGGAGCAGCCGGAGCCTCCGGAGCACGACGCTTCCCGCGGATTTCAACTACGAGCCCCGGAGCCTGGCCCAGCTCTTCCTGAAACCCCGCGTCACCGTGAGAGCCTTCCCGGGAATCCCAGCGGGAATCACACCGGGAATCAGCGGGAATCACACCGGGAATCACAGCGGGAATCACACCGGGAATCCCAGCGGGAA